CGCGCTGTCAGCGCCGGGGAGTGGCGTGCGGCCCGACCCCTGCCCCCGGCCGTGCCGCCACGCGGGGTGCGAAGCTGCCTGGCTCGCTAGGCCGCGGCCCCCAAGTTTTCCCCTGGGGAAGACAAGGCAGTGAAGATAAATGTTCATCCCTTGCCACGTGAGGCTGGGAAGGCAGCAGGTGACCCGGGCTCCCTCCCAGCTCTGCGGGGGAGCGGGGTCATGTCCGCCTCCTCCCCTCCCCAGTACTAGATCCCTGGTTGGGCTCTTAAAATCCTAGATAAAAGTGACTGGAAGGGATCTGCTGAGGCTGCCTTGTACCCCCCACCCCCCACGTGGCCTTGCCATTGCAGGGTGGGCGGCAGGGGCAACCTTTGTACCCAGGCACTACTTGTGGCGCATCCTGACCTGCTGAGCCATGTGCAGATCTGTGCTGAGGCAGGGCTGCTTGTAGGGGCTTCCTTCTACCACCGAGGACTGTATTGATCCAGAGCTGGGCTACTTTCTGTGCTAGAGGAGGTAGTGTTGTGTTGGAAGCCCCAGGCAGCCACCTGCTTGTATCCAAGCCACGGGTCCTGCTGTGATGGGTTGTGTTGGGCATCTTTCCCCAGATCTCTCAGACCAGTTCTCAAGAAGCGGTGGCAGGACAGCCCGACAGCCCTTGTGTAGCAGCACAGGCTGGGGGGCAGAGCTGCCACATTGGGTCTCCCTCTGTCTGCCTAGGTAGAAGTGCAAGCATGAGAGGGAGCCAGGACTCCTGGGTTCTGTCCCTGGTTCTGAGTTGTGAAGTTTAGACTTCCCATGCCCCAGGACAGTGTTCATGCACACATCATGCCGCCTCCCAAGCATATGCAGTGTTGCTCTTGGTGGTGCACATGGCTGTTGCCTGGCTGCCTCAGCACAGGAAGGACTTTACATGGTTACTCCTCCTCACCAGAGGAGTAGAGTAGGGCACTGAGCAGCAACAGGGTGGGAGGCGAGATGAAGGTTTTGCCTTCAGGTGGAAGGAGGAGAAGGCTTTCCCAGTTGTGCCCTGGCACAGTTGGAGGGGTCTTGATTTCACCCCATCCCTCCTAGCCTGCTGTCCTAAACTAAGATTAGCAGCTGTAACACATGGAGGACCAGGTCCTAGCCTGCGCTGCTCCATCATGTGGAGTTCTACATACTGGGAGCTGGAGACCTTACCAGTGGTGTGGACCATAGTACACTAGGAGACATGGCCCCTCACAGGTTGTGCTATATATGTAGGTTGGCTTGAGGGCAGTGATTGTGTGTTGCCGTGTGGTCCCTAACTCCACTCCCTGTTCCGAAACCCCTGTGCTAACCCTACCTCTTTCCCCACAGAACGTGACAAAGAGAACCGCCACCGTAAGCGCAGTCATAGCCGCTCCCGGAGCCGTGACCGCAAGCGCCGCAGCCGCAGCAGAGACAGGCGCAACAGAGACCAACGCAGCGTCTCACGGGACCGTCGGCGACGCAGGTACATGTGGGTGGGGGCTGTATGGTCCCTTCCTGGGAGACCCCTCCCTGCCCTGGACAGGTCTCCCTCCTACACTAGCCTGCAGACCTCACCTATGGCTCATTTGGGCATAACTCGCTCCACCCTGAGGGGTTGCTGCATGCTGGGGCTGCCTTGGAAGAGCTGTGTCTCTGAGCATGGCCTTATGGTTAAAGCAGAGGCTAGGGGCTAGGATTCCTGGGTCCTATCCCTTGCTATGTGAAAGGAGTATGACAAAAGATGTGGAAGTGTGTGTGCGGGTGGGGTAGGAGGGTGGGGGACCCATAGGGGCTAGTCTTGCTTGTGCTGCTCATAAAGCAAGTCCTTCCACCTCTGTGCTTCAGTTTCCTTCCCAGTAAAACGGGGTTCTTTTGCCCTCTGGAGAGTCAGGTGATTGTGCCTTTGCTGCTGGTTTGCCCTAGGACCTGCTGTCAGTGGGCAGGGAGAGGATAAGCCACTTTACCTCTCTGCAAAGGTAGGAGGATGTGATTTAGCCAGTCTCCCCCTAGCCCCCAGGAATATAGGTGTTGGGCTCCTCACTGCAGCACCACTGAAACAGTCTGGGAGATGTTGGCACTGCCTCTGTGTGTTACTGGGCATGGGGCAGTACCTCCGTGCCATCCTTTTTAGTGTTGGTGGGGGGTTCTGAGAACCAGCTCTTCCTTAATTCATCTGGAGGAATGAATTAGTGGGGGAAAGGGAAATGGAAATGGATCTTGGACCCCAGTTCAAAGGGACAGCTCAAATTGTTATCATAGAGCAGAGTGCATCTTCCAAAGTTGTGCCAAGCTGAGTTAAAACCTGGATCAGCCAGACTGGTCTGGTTAAAAGTCGCTTTGCTTGGTGATGAATTGAGTATTGCTGTTTTGGTGCCTACCTTGTCCTTATTGGCCCATGGAGTCTCCCTGGGTAGACAGGGCCAGGGACCCAGATGTCAAAACTGAATCCCTAAAAACAGGGAAGCAGAGAAGGGCACAAACTGGATTTTTTTTTTTCCATTGCAGGTCGCCACTAAGCCTCTCAGGTCCCTTGAGGTAAATATTCTTAACCTCTTTGCTGGGGGAGGAATTGAGGTAGAGTGGGAGGGAGGTGAGGAGAGATTCACACTGGGAACAGAGGTTGGATACTCGCAGTCCTCTTCTGGTCTGAGTGCCCAGAATTATGCGGCCTTTGTCAGACATGCTGTGATAGTAGGAAAGGGTGGCTTGCAGGAACTTGTGGGTTAGCAGCAAAAACAAGCTGCAGTGTGGCCCCTGAACTGCATCCAAGCTGCAAGCCAAGTGCATGAACCTTGTAGTGCAGAGCCAGGTTTAGTAGCCCTGCCCTGATCTCACTTTGCATTCTCTCTTGGCAGCCGCTCCCCCAGGCATGAGAAGAAGAAGAAGATCCGCAAGTACTGGGATGTGCCACCACCTGGCTTCGAGCACATTACCCCCATGCAGTACAAAGCCATGCAAGGTACCTGTCCTGCCTTGGCACCATGCAGTTCCTGTCTGCGTGCATGTCTGAGCAGGGAGGGGGCCCCATGCACTGCACAACCCTGGCCCCCAGCCCTAGGCATCCATGTGCTCTCCCTCCGTGCTATGTCCCTGCTCGCTGTCCCCTCTTGCCCAAGTCCCATCAGCATGGGGGGGGAATTGGCTTTTGAACGTGTGGATTGGTGTTTCTCTCTCCTTAGCCGCGGGTCAGATTCCAGCTACAGCTCTTCTCCCGACCATGACACCTGATGGACTGGCTGTGACCCCTACCCCGGTCCCGGTTGTTGGCAGCCAGATGACCAGGCAAGCCCGGCGCCTCTACGTGGGAAATATCCCCTTCGGCATCACTGAGGTACTGGCGGATTCGGCAGCGTGCTGCGTTTTTACGTCTCTCCGGCTCATTCGCTCTCTGCCTGGGACCTCCTGAAGACTGCCAGATGATATAACCTTTCTTTCCAAAACAGGGCGCCCCGGCACCAACCTTGGGGAGCTGTCTCCAGGAGCACCAGGCAGGGCTATAGGCAGGTGGGGTGTGCAGGCTACTTGGGGATTTAATGTCTCCTTTGGAAGCAGTATCCAG